ATATGGGATCTTTGCTAACAAAATGACCCTCCGAGGCTATGTTGATTTTGTGAATAAAAATTAAATTTGCCAGCCATCTAGTTATTCAATTTGAATGAATTTTTTTTTAATTTGTAGATTCTATTGAGAATTACAAATTAAAAAAAAATTCATTCAAATCGGATTGCTAGATGGCTAAAAAATTTGATTTTTATTCACAAAATCAACATAGCCTCGGAAGGTCATTTTGTTAGCAAAGATCCCATATGATTTTTAACAAGTTTCATTGGAAGGACTGGCGTGTATCTTGAAATAATCTATTTTGCAATATCTTGAGTTCGAAAGTCATCACTTACCATTCCGGCATTTAACTAAGTCATAGCTAGATGTTGTCCGAATTTACATTGTTTGACTACGTGGTTTCATATAGAAGAATTAAAAAAAATCATTATACTTATGATGCCCAAGATAGAAAATTAATGCTTGTGACTTATAGGACTGATCCTAAACGTTGTAATTAAACTGCATCTTTAATGAAATTTTAGAGATTATTGAAAATTTAGAAGAGTCAACACAACAAAAGTTGAAATTGAATAAATTAGAATTATGCTGGCTATGAAAAGTTGATATAGATTTCTTGGAAAATTTCTTGGAAAATTTCTTGGTCAGATGTAAGGACCTATATGTGTAAGGTTTTGATTGTGATTTTGAAGAAAGTTCAAAGTGAAGGGTTTAATTAATGACTTTAGGACTTTGGAATTAAGAATTATATTGATTTCAAATAATTTTGTGATAAGCAGAGTTGGCTTGATGGCAAGTAATGTGATTTAAATTTTATTACTATCACTATATTTGTATTGTAAATTTTGCAGTTATTTTTTTAGCAAGAGAAGAAGTATGATTGGTAGCAATTGCAAGGGTAACTAAGGGTAACTAAGAATTTACATAATAGTTGACAGTCACATTATCGGAAATAAATAATGAGTTAATTAGTTAAGATTTATGTTGTAATGATATTGTACGTACGTAATGTTTATGCCGATACAAAATTTCCTTTTCCACGTGCATAAACCAAAAAAACTTTTCAATGCTTTCGTGATTACGATCATATTTGGTTAAATTAAATCGCTTCTTCAAAAAACAACGTTTTCGAGATTACAAACTTATTTGGTTAAATGAAAACTTATGGATAAAAGCGAAATTTAAAGTTTTGATTGGGTGTAAATTCTTCGCTTTACACTTCGAATACATATTTTGTATTTTCGTAATATACTTTGTCTCAATTTATAAAAGAAAGCAGACAATCTTACGCCATTCAACTGCTTTAGGTAATGGGCACCGATAAAATACGCCTTTGCTTGCTTACGTATTTTTGATGAAACTTTAATTTTAATTTTTGACCCTGTAATAAAAGTTTCACAACGTCAATTGTGCAGGTGCGACGCATTACTTCTATTTATCAAAATATTAACAATTATTTACTTTTTTGAAAATAAATATTTTGTCAATTGTCAAAAATATAAAATGGCACAAGTATTTATTATTAATGAGTATTTTTTCCATTAAAATTGTCTTCTTCCATTTTTGAGTTTAACAATATAGAGGAGAAAATTTATACTATCGCTTAAAAGCGATACCAAAAATTTCTTATACAAGAAATTATACATATGTATATATAATAAAAAATGTCGGGCGTGAACAATGCGACTGAACAAACTAGTACGAGCTCAGCCACAACGACGTTCGAATCTGCTGTAATTTTTAACATAGCAGTTACCGCAGCAACGTTCATCTCTTTTGATTTAATAAGGAAAAGGGTTGCAAAAGTTTTTGAGCCGAGAACTTATATAGTTCCCGAAAAGTAATGTTCTGTCTACAGATTTGGTATTATTTTTTCTGAAATTTTTCCTAATTATCTCTTTTCTCTATCAAAGCAAACGTTCTCCTCCGGTTCCTAGTGGGTTCTTAAAATGGTTGAGGCCGACTTTAAAGACTTCTGACGAAGAGATTGTATTAAAGGCTGGATTGGATGGATATATGTTTCTTCGTGTAATTCGGACATTTATGATACTATTTACTGCATTCACAGCATTGGGTATTGGTTTGATTTTACCTGTGAATCGTATCGGTCAATATGATAAACCCGGACTGGAAAGCTTTACCATTGGTAATGTTAAAGACAAAGAGAGATTATATGCTCACGTGATAGTATGTTATCTTTTCACCGGTAAGTTACCAAATTTTAATTGTCATTTGTTACAACGTAACCTAGATATAACAATTACGTGAATTGTTTACAGCTGCTATTCTTTATATGATGTATAATGAATATTATACGTATATAAGGTTACGTAACGAATATCTCACAACACCCGAGCATCGTGTATCTGCACGTGCGACCACCATTTTGGTCCTTGGTATTCCTCCCGAACTTAATAACCCCGAAGATCTAAAAAGTCTATTTGGCGTGTTTCCTGGTGGTGTGAAGCGAATCTGGATTAACAGGTGATATTTCTTTTTATCGAATAAAGAAATTTCACGATTTATACTACCATCTATTTAACTCTAAATTTCATTTTAGAGATCCAGCTAATCTGGTAAATCTTACGACCAAAAGATTGAAAACAATTAATAAACTTGAACAGGCTGAAACCATATTTCTTGAAAAGTCTTTAAAGTATGTTGTAAAGGATAGCGGATCAGAACAGGACGTTGAAGATGGAAACAAAATTCCTGCGTCTCTGCGTCCAACTCACAAAACGATTCCCTTGATTGGTAAAAAGGTGGATTCTATTGAGACATATCGCGATGAGATTAAACATCTTAATGAGGAAATTGGAAAACAACGGGATAAGGAAGATAGTTTAAAGCTGTTAAACTCAGCATTCATCCAATTTAATGATTACATGGGCGCTCAATTAGCCGCAACCTTGACAATACCACGATTAACAGAAATTTCACGAGAAGACGTTATTTGGGAAAATCTTAATTTTTCACGTACATCAAGGATAATTAGAAAAACAATAAGTTTCTCAGTTACGACCGCTTTAATAGTTCTTTGGTTCATACCTGGTAATTTATAATTTATATAGATTTTAATATTTTTTTCTTTATCATGTCTCACATGACAAATTCATTTTCAGTTGTGTTTGTTGCATCAATCAGCACACTTTCCGAGTTATCGAAGATTGTTCCTTTCTTAACTCCACTTGTAAACAAACTTCCCCCATCAGCAATTGGGATCATTCAAGTAAGTACTGTACATTGTGGTTTATATATATGCATGTTTATTTATTTATTTTTTTAATTTAGGGTGTTCTACCTGCTATTGGCTTGGCAGTATTGATGGTAACTTTGCCTATCATTCTGAGAGGTATGATTAGTATTGTTCTTTAGTTAAGTAATCAATAAACAAGCTAACACTCTTATTATTATTATTATTATTATTATTTATAGTATTGTCCAAATTCGAAGGATCCGTTACACATTCTGGCGTTATGCTAAGCTTGCAAGAAAAATATTTCTTCTTTCTGGTCAGTTATATTCCATTTTCCATTCGACTTTATAATTTTTCAATACAAATTATTCAATACCAACTAACTTTATAAAAACTTTAGCTCATTAATGTTTTACTAGTAACTGCTTCCGCAAATGGAATATTTAATGCAATTCCAACAATTATTCAAGAGCCAACAAGCATCGTATCCAGTCTCGCACAAAATCTGCCATTAGCATCAACTTTTTTCCTTACTTATGTTCTTCTTAGTTTATCTACTGCTGCAATGGAAGCTTTACAAATTGGAAGTTTGGTTATGTATTTTATCACTAAAATGTTTCTTGCTAAGACTCCTCGTCAAATTTTTTATAATGAAACAACTTTAATGTATAAAGATTGGGGGGTCACTTTCCCTCCACATATTTTGATGGCCTCAATTGGTAAATGTAAAAACAATATCACGTGACACATGATATATAACTTTATTAATTGCTTATATTAAAATCTAGGTCTTGTTTACTCGGTGATTCAGCCTTTAATTTTACCATTTACAGCATTGCGCTTTGCATTATTCTACCTTGCATATCGGTACAATTTTTTATATGTCTACGATCAGATCTATGAGACTAATGGCGATCTATTTATAAATGCCATGAAATCATTTTTTTGGGGAATATTCGTTTTCCATTTAACTATGATCGGTTTAATGTTTCTTAATGAAGCATTCATTGCTGGCGTACTTTTAGTTGTTTTGTTTGTTATTACACTTGCTTTAGTCCTTGCTATGAGACATCATTTCAAGCATAACCCAAAAGCAGAATTTTTACCCGCGGACTTATTGGGCGTAATCGAAATGAAGACAAAAAAAGTTATTATTGACAAAAACTTTACAAAGTCGATTACAGAAGATGTCGAATATGATGAAAAAGCTGATCAAGGATTCTCAGGATCTACGAGTCAACAACTTTCAGAAAAACCTTTAGCAGATATTGATGACGAATACATTAACCCAAATGTAGTTCATATCAAGCATGCAAATGTAGATAAGGAAGGTGATGCAAATACATATAAACATCCGGCTCTGATTATTAAAAACCCTTTAGTTTGGATACCACAAGATAGTACAGATATGTATAAGGATGAAGTCAAAGGATGTCGGGAAAGTGGGTTAAATGCAACGAGTCAAGGTGCTGCAATAAATGAAAATTACAAAGTTGAAGTAGACATTGACAAAGCGCCTAACATTAAAGACGAACTTTTTGTGGAAAACGCAGAAAGTTGGGAAGATAAACAAAATGTGACTGATTAATCTTTTTCGGTTTTTTATTTTATTATTATTATTATTATTTGTGAAAAAGAAATTCAGTAATCAACGCTTTTTATGTATTTTCAGCGTATTAAGGGACTTTACAACAAACTATTCTGTTCTTGTTTTAATAAACGTGTGCGAGATTATTGACAAGGTTTGTCGGGTTTTTTTATGCAATTTTGATATTGCTAGAGAAAAGCTTGATTACTGGTTGAAATTTCGTAGTTAATATTTTGTATTAGATTTTGTAAATAAATTGTATACGTATAAAATATACAAATTTTTTTGGTAATTAAACAATTGCACTGACAAATGTATTTTTATTATTATTATTATTATTTTCTAAAATCTCCAGGTAATCACATGATTTGCATGTGCATTTGAAATCGAATGTCTTAATGACAAATTATTATCATTATTTTTTATGCATTATTGAATTATTATGTTTCATATTCTCAGAAATATTCACATTATGGCACAGTTACTTATCGTGTGGCTTTTAATCGTAAGTAAGACGAAAGGAAATTGTGGAATACTAAAGTTTTTAAAATCAATCCAATTTTGTTATTTGTAATTCGCGATTTCTTATTATTTAATGATTCTGTTGAGAATTTATTAACGATTCTGTTGAGAAACTACTTACTACTTAATGATTCTGTTGGGATTACTTAACGATTTTATTGAGAAATTACATTTATTATTCTTGCATTTACATTTGCTTTATTGAATTATATTATTCAAATATTTAACAAAAAAATAGGTATATATAAATGTACATTTTCATTATATTAAAAATATAATATTTATTAATCTGTCTAGCAGGCAAATAATTGCTATTAAAAACTTTTTTCTTTTTTTAAATTTGATAAAATATTTTTTATACAAAGATGTAATATTTGTTTTATCAATTTAATTTAGAAAATTTTATTAAAAATAAATAGTTTTTAAAAATTTGGATGTTCTAGAGAATTTTGTTTAAAGTAACTAAAATATGTAATCAATTTCTTGCTTAAATTAAAGCAAGTATTAATGATCGGATGCCTGATTTCGAATAAAATCAGTGATGCATTTGTTTCGAACTAAGGGTGTTCTCAAACAGCACGCTAATGTGATTAGCTAGTAATTGAGATAGTACTCAACCATTATGGCGTTATTAATCACTATGTTTTATGTAAAAGTCAGACTACCGTATTATAACTAGAACATAAAACAATTAATTTAACGATTCTTATTTCAATATGTCAAATAATATTGATAATAATTTTAGTGCTGCTAACGATTATCAACTAGTAAATCTAATTCTGGTGGTCAGTCTCGTAAAGAAGTATTGGATGTCTATAATGTTGATGAGAAAAACTGTAAAATACTAATCGTAATGGAATCACATTTAGCCAACGAATGTTCTAGTTGTCCAGAATACTGGCAAGATAAAATTGATAATCGAAATAATAATTATCAAAGAACTTCAAATCCATAAACAAACGTCACAAATCAACGCATTCGGCCGATACAAATAATTTATACAGTAATTGCTTTCAACAAATCACCAAAATTTACTTGATCGTGCTGTATTAAAAGCTTGGGTTGGATGTGGTATATCTTTTGAAATCATTGATAGTCTTGTTTCATCATAAATATGCTTACCGTATTTGCGCGTAATAGCGGGCCGGGCGTTAATTTAGCTGCCCGATACGAAAGTATCGGAGCAGCATTTTGTCCCGAATCAGTCACGGGGGTATATTAGGGATCGGGTAATGTGTGTGATTTATCGATTGATTTATGCGAAAATGACTTATCGTATGACTTTGAGTCTCCTGCATTGTTATGATTTATTGAATGATCCGTTTGATCTGTGACGTAATGACGTAATTTTTACGATTAGTAATCGTTAGTGAGTATTTAAGGTAAAACGGGATTTTCCCAGGAAGGGTAAGTTCTGTTTTTTCTGCTAACCCGACTTTGTCTGGTTTTTCGTTCCCTCCCTGCCCACCCCTAGCGACCATATTGGGTCTTTCCCTAGTGAATCGATGTTTGTTACTTAGGGAATTTATGGCTGGATAGGATGGCAGTCATTTCGAGTTTTTTAGTTTGCGGCCTGCCCAGGTCGGCAGTCGTTTCGTTTTTATAAGTGGCCTGTCGGGACGACAGTCACAGTTATTTTGTTTGTATTTTGTTTGTTTTTGATAAGGTGGCCTGTCGAGACGACAGTCACAGTAGATTTGGTTGCGGTGGGGTTTTTTCCAGTATGACTGGTTTTTTTTGCCCGGCCCACCAATTTTTCACTGCTATAGTAACGCATATAGCAGGCAGTAGTTTAGACTCTTTCTTACGATACTTTCGAAGTCTGTATTGTTAGGCATGTATGTCCATTCATAGCACGCAGCGGAAGGGACAGATAACCCATGATTGTTTTCCATTTTGTTTTTCAATTGTTTTCCAAATTGTTTTCTGATTCTGGTTTTCTAAGTTTGTTTTTTCGATTGTTGTCCATATGTTTCACCCCTTGATGAGGGACAAATTCGGGGTTTGATTTTTTAAAAAATTGAGCTTTTTTGCTCAAAATAGCGCCCGAAATAACGCGCACCCACCTAATATAGTATAGTGTTCAAAGCGGGTTCATATCATTTCACCACAGTCACTTCAAATACTACATTTACCAAACTGACTTCACCGACAAGCTTATTTACAAACGATTAATTTACAGACAATTTCACTTCGTAAGTTTTTTTTATAATTGCTTTAACCTTAACCTAATTTTAAACCTAACTCTAACTACATTAATTAGAATTACTTGTCGGTGAAATGGGCTGTCGGGAAATATACTGTCTACGAAATGAACTTAGGCTGTTTG